GGATTCTGGGCCCTATAGCCCCCCCCCCAGGAGACACTGGGCCAGCCTTAGCAGTCCCGGCAGCATCCTGCTCCCTCCACCCCACAGGAATGTCCAGCCGTAAATTGGGGGGAGCGCCGCTGACCCACGGCGAGGTCCGCCTCTAAGAAAGCCAGGCGACCGGAGGGGGGGCACCCGATCGGCACTCTTGCACAGATGGATCCCCGTTCTCTGGGCTGCCTCCTCCAGGAGCTGGATGCCGGTAATAGGAATGCTAGAAATGCACAGCTGGAAGGGACCCTCTGGATCACCCAGGCCAGCTCCTGTCAAAGAGGCACCGCGTGGGGGAATCGAACCGCTGACACCGCTGAGCGATTCAGTCGTTGTTTCCCAGGAGTTTCTAGGTAAAGAGCCAAAAGGAGGAACAAAAATTGCCAGCGCAGCAACAGCAACAACAACACCCCCAGCAAGAGGAGCTGAAGATGCCCTGAAACTAAACTGAGGGTCGATGCTCCCACCAAGCAAAAGGGCCCAAAGAAGGCCATAACTTTGGCAGAGTGAGGCCACTGAAGTTTGTGGTGGTGGTGCGCCATCAAGTTGCTCCCGACGCATGGAATGAGCGATCTTCAGAATGTCCCGTCCTCACCAGCCGGGCTCAGCTCTTGTAAACTCAAGCTGGTGGCTTCCTTGAGGGAGCCAATCCATCTCATCTTCAGCCTTCCTCTTTTCCTGCTGCCTTCCACCTTTCCCAGCATTCTTGTCTTTTCCAGGGAATCCTCATAATGTACTGCACTCCAAGGAAGGAGAGCCTCCATGGCATCATTCTTGCTTCCAGAGGTCGTTCAGGCTTGGTCTGATCCACCTTTGCCTCTTTCCGGCTGCCCAGGGGACCCACAAAGCTCTCCTCCCGCACCACCTTTCAAATGAATCCGTTCTTTTCCTGCTCAGCTTTCACCCTCGTACGTGGCGGTCAGCAATACATGAGTGTGGATAGCTTTGGTCTTAAGAACATAACGTAAGAACCTAAGAAGTGCCCTGTGCTGGATCAGGCCAAGGGCCCCTCTAGTCCAGCTTCTTGTATCTCAACAATGACCCCACCAGATGCCTCTGGGAGACCACGAAAAACCTGTCTCCTGACCCCACTCCCCTGCATCTGGCCTTTGGAGGGACCTTCCTTCTAAGCCTGGATGATTATACATCCCCATCACGGCTTGTCACTGGCGATGGACTTTTCCATGGTCTTGTAATGATCTTGGTCTGCAGTGACCCATCTTGACCCTTGATGATCTTTTCTAGTTTCTTCGCAGCTTCCGCTCCCGGGCCCCGTCTTCTTCTGATTCCTTGGCTGCATTTGAATTGATGACTGAACCCAGGTAGACATCATCTCTGTGTCAGTTTCTTCCTGATCTTGAATAGGACTGACCCAACATATTTTGCCACCTGAGGCCAAAGAGCAGAGAAAAACACACACACACACACACACACACACACACACACACACACACACACACACACACCCCTCTCCCTTCTCTGTCCATAGGCTTTTCTGGATGGGTCATTCAATGCCATTCCAACATTGGCAACAGAAGGCAGGTCTCTCTCCCTCCCCCCACAACCCTACAGCTAGGGGCAGAAAGTAAGTTTAGGAGATAAAGAAGACGCCCCCCAAAGGTTGGGAGGGGGAGCTGCTAGTGTTGCATCGGGCATGTGTTCCCCTACCCCGAGACATTTAGTATCTCACGGTTCCTAAGGGTGCAACTGGTCCCAAAGACAGAAAAAAGTTCATTTTGTTGACTACCATTTTCTGGGAGATGTTGTCTGCAAAAACGACAGTTTTCTGGAAAAGTCGTTTTCCCCATCTCCAGACTAACCCTGTGAACCCTCCTGCCAATTGTAGGAGGCCGTTGCCATCGTCCCTCACCCTGCGATCCTGTGTGCACGTGGTCTACTCAGAAGTAAGTCCCATGGCAGGCGGTGGGGCTTCATTCCAGCGAAGTAGGCATAGGACCGCGGCCTCCTGCGTGCTCCTTAAATAGGCTGCCTTGGAGCCAGCCAGCTGTCCTTGAAACCAGACTATTCCCAGCTGTTTCTCGGTGTCACAAAGAACATCTTTTTCTAATTACCAAAAAAGGAGCCCCTTGTTCAATCGTTTGACATCCATTTAAAATGCCCTGCGGAGAAGTGGAACATTTCCCGTGTCTTGATTCTAGCCCAACATGTAATTAATTCATTTTGGGTGCAAAGGCCAGGGGAACAGAAAGCTTGTGGGGAGAGGAAAGGACGGAGGGAGAGAGGCCTGCGTTTACTAAATTTAAATATGAAAAAAGAGGATGAATTCTCTATCAAAGCAAGCTGTGTCAAAGATGCCCAGCGTATGTCTTTATGCCTGTTTTAATTTGCTGCTTTTCAAGAAACTTGAAAGCGGGTTGCAAGGGCCAGAGTAGCAGAGAGCAGGGGGAAAAGCACTCCTTCTGTTGCAAAGTTTTGAATTCTTATTTTAACATTCTCCTACTGTGCAGCAGAAGTTCACAGAGCAGAATAGCTTCAAGTGCCCCATATTAGCCCACCCCTTTCTCATTATCTGGCACTTACCGTCTCAATAACTCACTCTGAGACATTACTGGAAAGATTTCATTACTTACAGTTGAACAGATCCAACAGCAAAGTAGCACAGACGACTGCTTTCAACAACAGACTTAAACAGACTCTAGAGAGGGAAAAACCACTCAATGGAGAGAGGCGGGGCTCTCTTTGAATTCAGAGGCAGGGAAGGAATGATTGGTTAAGGCTGGAGAGATTGACAGTCAGCCCAGCCCAGAAAGGTCCCTGCCGGCCACATCTACTAAAAGCATAATGTGAGGCTTTGAAAATGCCCAAAGAGCTTTAGACTACAACTCCCACAATGCTGCGTGGGTCTGATGGGACTTGTAGACTATCTAGAGAGTGTCTCACAGTAGGGCCAGCGTTCAAAATCAGGAAGCAGGGAGTCGTCTCCAGATGCAAGAAGATCCAACTTCCTTCGTTCCAAAGGTCTCAACTCTTCCATGACCAGAGACAAGGAAAAGGATGATGGGAAATATTTTTCCCTATGCCACATCCGCCGATCGGCTCTTGACCTGCCTGATGGCAGCCGGAAAGAAGCCGAGAAAAGAGCGAGAGCGGGCGAACGCATGGTGAGAAATTCCACAGCGATGACAGGCGATGCCCCCAGAATGACGTCAACTCTTTGGAGATCCAAGCCTCATGGCTGGATTTTAAGAAAATGTTACACTCTCAAAGTGGAAAGAGCCTCTTGTAGGGGTTTGGGTCGGAGCCTTGGAGAGACGCGAATAAGATAGCAAAGAGGGGCCGGCAGGAGAAGGAAGCAGGCCTGGGCTGGGTCTCCTGCTCTCCCTCGTCCACATGAGTAATCCCTTGGCTTTCCAGCCGGGCCCTTTCCAGCTGTTCGAACCCTCGGCCTGTGCCAATGACCTCTTGTTTATCTTCCCCATGTCCTTGCAATTCTTCAGACATCAGCAAAAGCCACTAAGCTGCTCTGGAGCAAACGCTGGTGTGCTTTCTCTTCCCCCCCCCGCCGCACCTGCCTTCAAATTCTAGGATGTGTCTTCAGAGATGCAAGAGAGGTGGCGGGAATTTCTTCTGGGGATGGTGGAAATACGATTCCGAGAATCACCCATCCAGGCTAGCTGCAGGAGTCTGGATGCCTGAATCCTGAAAAGAAACTTTCCCAGATTTGGTGGAAATAAAATCAAAGGGAGTTTAAACACAACCACACGGCATTGCTCCAGCGTGGGTCCCGATCCACGCGGGTCCCAGAGGATCATTGCCACAGGCCACGTAACACAGACAGGAGGATTTGCACCGAGTTTGGTCATGCAAACCCTGGTGCGGTGTTAAAAACGGTGCCAGGGTGCACTTTTTAAAACCACACTTGGGCTTCTGTGGTCGGCTGGCCGTTGCGGAGAGGCTTGCCAGTTGCTGAAGTGCTGGGATTTGGGCTCATCCTGCAGCAAATGGGGGTCACCAGAGATGCCCAGCAAGTGAACTGGAGGCTTCTCGGCCACCTTGGCACTGGCTGCTGGGTGATGTTGTTTTTGTCCAAGAAGGCTGAGAAGCTTCTCCAGTGGCTCCATGTTTCTTGCATGTCACCTGGGAGCAGTGGGAAACTTCATGCCATAGGGCAGCTGGCAGGTCGGTGTCCCCTCCATGTACCGTTTCATGCAACAAATCCCATTCAATGAGGATGTGTAAAAAAAGTGGGTTTGCATCTGCTTTTGGGATAACCTGCCCCTTACTACAGGTTCTCTGAAACATGTCGTCCCAGCGATGATCTTCTGATTGGTCACTGTTCCTGTTACAGTGGGGTCTCTACTTAAGAACTTAATCCGTATTGGAAGGTGGTTCTCAAGTTGAAAAGTTCTTATGTTGAATCTGCATTTCCCATAGGAATGCATTGGAAACCATTTAATCCGTATCTGCTCTTTTCCGTCCATAGAAACTACAGTGGAACCTCTACTTAAGAACTTAATCCGTTTTGGAATGGTGTTCTTAAGTTGAAACGTTCTTAAGTTGAAGCAAAATTTCCCATAGGAATGGACTGAAAACCAATTAATCCGTTCTGGCTGTTTTTTTTTTTTGTTTTGTTATGTAGAGGTGCGTTCGTACATTGAAGCATTAGTTCCCATAGGAACTAATGCAAAGCTGGTTAATACGTACTCTATCACTAGGGGGAGAATTTTTTTTAACCTAAGATGACCTAAGGTTAAAAAAAGAGCAGGAAAGGTTTTTTTTCCTGTTCTTATCTTGGATTTCTGTTCTCAAGTAGAAGCAAAATTTAGCAAATGGAGCTGTTCTTAAGTTAGATTGTTCTTAAGTAGGGACATTCTTAAGTAGAGACCCCACTGTATTTGCTGCCAAGACACCTCTGATTTACAACAACCTAATGAATGAACGATTTATAAAATATCCTGTCATGAACAGCGATGCTCAACATTTGCAAAATCAATTTGCAGAATCAATGCCCTTGGTTCCTTTTATGATGTGAGTCCATCTCATACTGGGTCTTCCTTTTTTCTTGTTCTCTTCACCTTTTGCCAGCATTATTGTCTTTCCCAGTGAATCTTGCCTTCTCATGATGTGTCCAGTGTGCAACAGACAAATCAGTTTCATTACTTTTGCCTCTAGAGAGACTTCAATCTTCATTTGATCCAGGACCCACTTGTTTATCTTTTTGATGATCCAGGATATCTGCCAAGCTTTCCC